CTCTTTATATGCCTGGTCAAAAAAATTCTTCTTTAATACCTCATATTGAAATTTAAATGCATTTCCTTCTTTAGAATGGCTAATGGAGGAGGCCTTAACTGGTCCCAATATTCTCCTGTTGTGTGTTCTGTATGTACTCTTCCTGTACCTTCACTTTATATTTTTTAAGACTGTGATTGAATCTGAATCAGGATATCAAAAGCTCAGCTACACTTAAAATTCTTTGTTGCAGACTTTCAATTATCTGGATATTAAAAAATATCTGGGGGGAAAATCAGTAGCCTGTTTCTGTTTTAATGAAAATATTTGTTATGCCATAATCATAGTCTTTCACCTTTTTCTATGTTGAATTCAACTTGTGACTAATACTTAGTCCACTGTCTTGGTACTGTTTAAAAACAAAACAAAACAATACTCCCTGACCTTGAGCCATACTGCCTGTAAGGTATTTATTGGCAGTCAACCAAAGAGAGCAGCTGGAGATCCTGCCTTGTGCCTTAAATGCACTATGCTGTTTAATCCTCACAACAACCCAATGAGATCTGTACTATTATTATTCCTGTTTTTACAAATGAGGAAACTAAGAGGTTAAGTAGCTGGCCCAGGATCATGGTACCAAGAAAAATGGTGGAGACAAGTTTCTAAACCAGATGGCCTTGACTGGAGATTGAGCTCTTAACCACTGTGCCTCTCTTGCATAAGAGGAACACAGGGAAGCAATGCCCCCGGCCCCACAAAACAACGCAAGGTATTAAAGTAAGAATAAGGTCACTAGAATCAGGTTGGCATCAGAACGCTTCGGGGACAAGATTTTGAGCAAGGCATCAAAGCAGGGTGGGATTTAATTGGCCCAGCTGAGAGCTGGGGCATCATGATAGACAAGAATGGCCAGGGCTTGTTGAGTGGGTAAGAAACAGCATCAGCCTAATGGACAAGGGTGGGTAATTTTTAATAGATTCTTATCTACTTCAGTCTCCTCATTTCCTTCTGGTTTTTCTTAAGAATAAAACAGCCTGGCCAGTGTGGCTCAATGGTTGAGCATCGACCTATGAACCAGGTCACCGTTCAATTCCCAGTCAGGACAAAGGCCGAGGTTGTGGGCTCCATCCCCAGTAGGGGGTGTGCAGGAGGCAGCCAATTAATGATTCTCTCTCATCACTGATGTTTCTATCTCTCTTTCTCTTCCTTCTTCTCTGAAATCAATAAAAATATATTTTTAAAAAAGATTAAACAAAATGCAAATACCAACTGTAATATAATATAGCAACCAGATATGCATAAAATAGAAACACCAATGTATTCAATTAAGGTAAATAATACAATTTTTAGTTACTGACTGAGGTCTTTTTCTCCTTCCTGGTGTACTATAACTGGCCTCCCCATTTTATATCTGATAATTTTCCTTACCTGAATTTAAATCAAACTGTTTGAATTGTGTTAATAGTTACTCCTTATTTTGATTGAATGAGAAGATTTTCTCCTCCTTTTCCCAACCTTACTATTGAATTCTGGAAGTCTGTAACGAATATATGGCAAATACGTTATAGTACAGGAAGTCCAAACTTATTAATGGGCTGTGTTCCAGTAAATTAGTTGTTTGGAAACTGGAATTTATTTTCCCATGGAAATAGTGGTTAAGTTCCCAGAGGACCTATAAAAGCTTGCTTCACCAGGAATGTGACAGAAATGAACGCTGTCACCTTTGTGTTGAACTCTGCCTATTATTCTGGGGCTCTATGGATTTCTCTTCTTACTACAATGTGTTAGCTAACCACCTCTTGGGAGACAGATTTTTTCATTATAAATTATGGAAAAAGCTATCACTTATAATTCTACCCAGATCCAATCTTTAATACTGCTTCGGGTGTTTCTTTCCACTAATCATTACTTAAAACATGACTTCAGGTGGACAGTTGTTTTCCTTAGCCGACGGTCAGGAGTCAGAAGAGTGGCCCAAGAATGCTCATAGCCTAGCCAGTGGTAGGCAAACTGCAGCTCGAGAGCCACATGCGGCTCTTTCGCCCCTTGAGTGTGGCTCTTCCACAAAATACCACGTGCGGGCGCGAATGTACAGTGCGATTGAAACTTCGTGGCCCATACGCAGAAGTCGGTATTTTGTGGAAGAGCCACACTCAAGGGGTCAAAGAGCCGCATGTGGCTCGCGAGCCGCAGTTTGCCGACCACTGGCCTAGGCTATGACATCACCTTCTCTGCCTGCACCAGGAGGAGAAGGCAGTGAAATGGCACCAGGGACATGTCTGGCCCCTGCTGCTGCCCGTGACCATCTGGTTCCTAGGGGTATCTTTTGGTCCATGTGGGGATTTAAAAATAAAAGACTTTCTTGGTTTCTAACTTGGCATCAGGTAATAGTCCCCAGGTTTTAGTGCCTGCCCCATGTTAGAACTTGGGAGATTACCCGATCATGTGTGTTTTGACTATAGTTGAATCTATATTACAGAAAATTCACACTTAAATAATCTGAAGCTATGATGTGGATATCTCCCAAATACGCTTGTCTCAGAAGCATTTCCTTGCAGGGCACAGTAACCACAATAAAACCAAAATCTTTGTTTTAGATAGAAACATTACCGGCAAATGTTTCCAAAACAGAAATACTTAAAGTGAAAAAAAATTTGTGTCTATGGCCATCATAACAGTGTGGTTTTTAAAAACTTTAGCTTCTACACATTTCACTTCTACCTTTTGTACCTCGGGATTTTTTTTACACTAGCAAGGGATTCTTTGCATGACTTTTGAGTCTGCCTTTAGAAATGTCAGAAAAAGCATTTGTATAACTGGGGAAGGTTTATATTTACAACCCTAGTCCTCCAAAAGACAAGCAAAACCCCCACTGAATTTGTATAACCATGTCTGCTGTCAGTGTCTTTTTTAAACACTTGGTGATGTGTCAGTAAACATTTGCCATAAAGACAGTGCATTTCAATTGAAAAATACATTTTTTTTTGCATCCTCAAAACAATGGATAGACTTAGATATTAGACTTCACAAAGATGAAATAGGCCATTGGTTGGGACTAAGGAACGAAGAGGGCTCCAGCTGCTGGGTGCTCAAAGTTTGTTTTTGGCAAAGAACACATGGCAGGAAGTTAGCATTTCCAGGCACCTTGGAAAGTCTAGAGCAGGAGGAAGTTTTGAAATCTTACTGGAAAGATTTAGAGCCAAGTAGGTCTACGCTACTTGAAAGTGAAGACAGTTATTTCAACTGTATTTAAAAGGAGAAAGAGAAAGGAGAAGGAAAGAAAGAAAAAATAATACTCTTGGGGGAATCAAATGAGAGCGCATGCATAAAAGTGCCCAGTGAGGTTACCAAGATGCATTAGCTCCTCAATAATGTTAGCCAAATGTGAGTACTGGGAATTTTATTGGGCAAACAGGATTATTTAAGCTCAGTTATGTCAGTAGTTTTGTTAGCACCTGCAGCTTCTAGGAATTATAGAGACATCGTACCTGCAATGAGTTCAATTACCAACTGAAATATACACTGACCAATCAAATTCACCAATCCTATATAATAAAGAGCTAATATGCTAATTAGACTGGTAGGCTAATGACCTTCTGACCAGTGGGGGGAGGAGGGGCCTGCAGCAGCTGGAGCCGCTAGGAGGGCTGAGCCCCTTGCACGAATTTCGTGCATTGGGCCTCTAGTATTGCAAATGAAGTGGGATTTCTTTCTCGGTTGGGTTATAATTCCTCAAGTCTGGGCTACTTAGCTCAGCTGGTGGATAAACATTATGGACTACAACCATGTACAAGTCAAGCTTTATAAAGAGAAAGACACTGAAAAGCTAAGATTATGCACCATATCCCTATCCCCAGATACACATCATATAAACAAGTTTATTGGTCACTAGACGGATTGCATAAATGGGTGCAGCCAGCACAAACACATGTTAATTCCTTAAAAAATTCAAAGCATTATCTATAAAGCCACGTCATGTTCAAGGAACAAGTTGTTCAAAACACGTTTTTCAAGTCCCTTAGAGTTCTACGTTAAGAGAAGTAATTTCCTTGTTATGACAAATGTGTTTGATCTCCAAATGCTTAAAAGATTTGTAAGTTGAACAGAACTTCACAACCCAAGTTTCCAAGATGATAAAAATCAGTTAATTTTAATTACTTTAGATTTTTCTACCAGAGAAAGAAAAACCCCCACAGAAGAACACCTCAGCTATTCAGCTACACTGGCATTTGGGGGGAAAACTTAGATGACAAAGATGGGGTTCAGCATGAATATACCACGATACATGCATTACCTGAACTTACTTTAAAATTCTAAATTTGTGAGCTCAAAACATAAACATGTTGAAGTGGAGTCGTCAGTTATTTCTTAATGCACTGTAATAAATTTAAAATGCAAGAGATTCAAGGCAGTCAGATTACAAATCAATTCCCATTAGGTTAGCCAACATGTGTCAGAAAAATAACTAAGTATAAGACTCCCCATGACCTGTAGAACAAACAAAATGATCCTCTGGTTATTTTCTAAGATTCTCCTCTTTCTCACAAACATAGCAAAGTATCTCTGCAATTCACTCTCCCTGGTCAGAGTTCTATGGGAAGTGTTGCAAGTGGGCTTCACCTTCCTCTCTCACCACTGCGCTAGCTATACCTCGGCTCCCGGTCGGAAACTCGGATGCCATTTATCTACTAAGCTTTGCTAATTAAAAAAAAGATTGATGACATCCACCATCCACCGCAACACATTAAAAGTAATTTATACAGCCCGGCAGCACACTGGAAGTCCTGAGCAGACAACATTTCAACTCCAACAAAAAGACACCGCTCGCTTCTGTGACACAACAGAAAGTGGACAGCAACATGTGTCATGCACCGAAGACTTACGCCTTACAAAAATAAAAATAAAAAAAAATCTAAATAAATTAAAAATTTTTTTAAATGCCTGGCGATAATGAATTCTTAAGTCATTCTACTTAAAACCTAAAGCTGGTCATCAAAATCTATTTCCAGTTTTACAGTCACCTTTCTTCCCGGCAAGACCATAACAGAATGAGGTTTCCAGGAACGTGGTCAGTTACACCACAGCTGCATCTGACCGCTGGTGATCTCTGCCTTGGCGTGCACGTGGGGTTTGCACATCTGGATCCTGCCTTCCTGGACCATCCGTCAGGTTGGCTTTGGGAAAAGGAGACAAAAGACACCCCTTTGCAATCGCCTTTTCGGCAATCCCAGTTTTGGAGGGAGCTATAGACAACACAACATTTTCCATATCACACCGAGAAACAACTCTCTCTCCATAAAAACATATAAATACACAGACAGACAAATAGAGACTAGTGTCACGAAGTCCCTTGAAGTACCCATGTATCGACGGACCACCAGACACTGACCTTAGATCTGTAACGGAGGGGGAAGAAAAAAAAATCATGATGAGCCTGAAAAACAAAATAAAATAAAATAAAAAAATGTCACTGACACGGAAAACAGAACACACGGAAAACAGAACACAATCATCCTGTCAAGATCTCTCTCCCCCAAGATCTCTCTCCACCAGAAGA